GTAGCCCCCCCCCCCCCTGCTCCCTTTGGCCATAATTCCAAGCCAATGGGAGCTGCAGGGACAGTGCATGGAGCCTCCTAGCTGCCCCTATGCATAGAAGACGGAGGAAAGGCATACTGCTGCTTCTGGGAGCCATACGGTACCATGGTACCTGTGGAATGGGGCAAGCCCCAGACCCCTCTCTCCAGCAGGAGATTGAGGGCCAGATTAAAATGACCAATGGGCCAGGTGCAGCCCATGGGCCATAGATAGCCCCCTTCTGACTTTAGTCAACGCTTGCACTGTAAAGCTTACTGACTGGTCCCTTATGACTTTAATATCTCTGAAAATTAGCACAACTGCATTGAGCTCAAGGGGGCTGCTGAGTTATGCCCTCTAGGGATCTTCCCCTCCCCCCACCCCCCGCACACACATGGGCTACGTCTACACTGGCCCCTTTTCCGGAAGGGGCATGTAAATTTCATGAGTCGTAGTAGGGAAATGCGCGGGGGATTTAAATATCCCCCACGGCATTTAAATAAAAATGTCCGCCGCTTTTTTCCGGCTTTTAAAAAAGCCGGAAAAGAGCGTCTACACTGGCCCCGATCCTCCGGAAAAAGTGCCCTTTTCCGGAGGGTCTTATTCCTACTTCAAAAAATTAAAATTCAGATTTAAATAAAAACCTGATTTAAAAAAAAATCTGATGTTTTTGATTTTTTTTAAATCATCAATTTTTATCCACACTGGTTTCAAGACTGCCTAAATCCCATTTTCAAACTATCCTTAGTCATTTAGATGCCTAAGTCTCACTGAAAGTGGGGCCAGTGTAGACGTAGCCACACACAAATTAGAATTCTCTCTGGTGCAGTGGCTCAGTGTCCAGATGGGCTCGGCTGGCTAAAATAGGCCATCACTGGGCTTTTCTGAGTCTCATGATTGCTTTGGCTGTTCTCTTAGTTTTCCTCAGATGTTACATCTTTACATGGGCTTTGCTTCCATGCTGTGTTTATAGCACCACTGTCACCCAACATGTTGCCACATGGCATGAAACTGGGAGAGTGTCTGTCTTTTAGCCAGGAAAAGCCTTTGGTGGCCTTGGATAAGCTAAGTTGTCTTATCAAATATGATTTAAATAATGCTGTTGGAAAATGCCTCTGTGCTCCTTGCGTCTTTGTGTGCAGCACACTCTGAGGCTGCCAAAGTCTGGATCCTAGGCATAGCAAAGAATGCACAGCAAGCATGGAATCAGCCAATTAACAGAAACGGAGTCTTACTGCGAGAGATGAAGGGATCTCTCTTTCGGGCTGAGGTGTTAGCGGCAGCTGCCGAGATATTAGAAGCAGGGTGAACAAATCAGTTTTGTAGCATAGGAAAAAGTCAGAAGATGAATCCCAGAACAAGGACTTTTGTAGCCCATAAAAAGATTCAGGGTTGCTCACCATTGACTGAGGTTTCTTTTTTGGTAGAACTGGGGTTGTCAACCCTCCTACTTTCTGCAGGAGTCTTCTGGAAGCACACCCTGTCTCCCAGAGGCTACCTCAGCCAAACTGGGAGGTTTGGGGCACCAACAGTCTGACTTGGCAGCGGAATAAAACTAGTCCCCTTTAACTGCTTTCACTCTGTGCCCACTTAACTGTAAGTCCCCACTTAACTGCTTTTCACTCCTGGAAGCAGCCAACACCATCCCTGCAGTGCCTGGAGGAAACAGGGGATCTCTGTGTGCTGCTTCCTCTGGAGCACCGACTTTGCAGTTCCCATTGGCTGGGAACTGTGGCCAATGGGAGCTGTGGGAGCGGTGCCTGAGACATGCAGAGATCCCCTGGTCTGCCCACCTAGGAGAAGGGATGTTCTTTTGTGAGCCGCACTGCCCGAGGTAAGTGCCGACCCCCTGTACCTCTCCTGTACCCCAATCCTCTGCCCCAGCCTAGATACTGCACCTCACACCAAATTCCTACCCAGAACCTAACCCTGCACCCTTCTATCACCCAAACTCCCTTTCAGAGTCTGCACCCCTCTTGCACTCAAACTCCCTCCCAGACCCTGCACCCTTCCTGCACCTAACTTTCTGCCCCAGTCTGCTGAAAGTAAGTGAGGTCAGGGAAGGAAGGGCGGATGAAGTGACTGGGGGCAGAGCTTCAGAGAAGGGATGGAATAGGGGCATGGCCTCAACGAATGGATAAGACGGGGTGAGACAAGGGTCTTTGGATTTGCACAATTAGACAGTTAGTTACACTTGAGAGAACAGCAACTCACCATAAAGGCTCCAGAGTCTGATTCAAAGGCATTAGTCTCGGACAGCTTTTACTGGGGCTGCTGAGCTATGCTGACACTTTTCTTATAACATCCTTTTTCCTGGTGCTCGGAGCTTTCCAATTTTTATCTTTCATGTTTGTTCTCAGCTCAAAAATAAATTGTGACTTTTGAGCAAAATTCATTCATCTTATATTTTGAGTTGCAGCATCGGAGAAAGGGAAAAACAAATATTTTCTGCTGTAAAAAGGTTGTTTAGATTCTTGTGCAAACAATTCAAAATCATTAGAACTTACCAGTGATCTTTGGTCTCATCAGAGACATAGATAGGTGGATGAAATAATTAAGTAAAAGAAAAGATAAGAGCCACTCAACACTTGATTTTTTTTTCACAAGCTCAGTACAAAATTTCCACCACGTTTAGAATTATAATGGTATAACTCACAATAACATACATATACAGGGACAAATTCTGCTCTAGATTACAAAACTAATTCCACACTGCAAAATGGAGAAGTTAAGGTTGTTGTCCACATGTTTTTACAGCTTCAAAATTTTCATGAAACAAAACTGGGAGGATTCAGGATTATTGAAGGCTGGTGCTTTTTTAGGGTTGTGGGGATGGGGTGAACTGTTTTCTTGCACACCAACTATTACATTTCACTTCCAGCATAAAATGTGTCCTGAGATATTTTGTGGATGTGCCTTGGCAGCCATCTTTAGCAATTTTGCCTTAAGTTATGAGTATGGGAACGTCTACACTGCAGCCAGGAATGTGATTCACAGCTGGTGTAAATGTGATTTACAGCTAATCATGGAAGTGAGAATGTGTTAATATGAGCTTCCGCGCTGGCTGTATAAGAGAGTTTATAGTCAGGGGAGTAGGTACAACAGCCTTTGCTCAAAACCACACCACAGCCTCCTCTCTTCCATTTTTAGCAAGCTAGCGTGAATACAGCTAGCTCTGGGGGGATAACTACAGAAGCTGCCCTTGTCACCTCCAGCGCTAATGTAGTACCTCTAAAAGAATGGAGTGTTCCTTGCAAAAAATATGTAGTCTCCTTCCCCAAGCAGTGCTCCTTTTCAGTGTAGCAGTCCAAAAAAGTACTACGCAGAGTAGCCCCCTGAACTCTGTGCCCGCATGGTAGCTTGGGGACCCCCTGCCAATTTACATCACTTCTCTCCCCACTTAACAAAGGACAGGTTTTTGCCCCAAAGTTTCATATAAAACTAAGCTTACTTGTGTGTGGTTTATGGGATCATCATGGGAGAAAAACACATTTGGGTAGTTTTAGAATGAGCAGTCTTTCACTGATTGCAGCTTTTACTGCAGCTACCCAGGCTGGCCAAATGTCAAGTTTCTGTGAGATAGGAGTGGTTCCCAAAGGTCTCCATCCCACTCACTTTTGACCTGTGCTGGCTTGCTGCTGCAGGAACAAAGCACAGGTTGTGGTTCACAAGCCTTTTACAGGAAGCACTTTGACGGTAGCTATTTATAGGGGGGTGGCCTATGTCTCCCTCTGTCTTCCTCTGATGCTGCCGAAGAACTTACTACAGAACTGTTTTCCACTGGAAAATGCTGATTGCATGGAATCAGAACGTTCGGCGGGAACAGGAGCCCTTGCCTCAACGCTTCTGACAGAAACCAGGTAGGCAGGCTTTGCAGCAGCTGGTTTGCCAGCTGACTGGATCCCCAACTCCCCAGCTGCTCACTGGGCGGATGGGCTGGCTGCCTGGCTGCTTATCTCCCCAGGCACAGCATGCCAGCTCCTCCGCTGCCTGGCCCTCTCCCGGGGGGCGGCGGCGACTCTGGACGCGAGCCGGGCCCTTCCTGTGGATCGCCCCAGCTGCGGCGGGGGGGCGCCGCCCCCCCCCCCCCCCCCCCCCCGGTGCCTGGCTGGCAGATGCCAAGACAGGAAATTGTGGAATAGTGCTGTCTCATTCCGCACTGGAACAAAATGAAACGTCATGAGCCTGAACCAACCCATGAAATGAAAATCCTCTGTTCTGCCAGTTCTATTCAATACTTTGCCTCATATTGGAGCCTGCATGTGCCTTCTTTTCAAGCTAAAATCTAATATTTCTATGCATTCCTTACTCATCCTTCAAAAATTCCTTTGTGCTGGTAACATTTGTCGTGAAGATCTGCTCCTGTAAGAAGCAGATGCCCTAACGCAGGGGTGGGGAACCTCAGGCCCAGGAGCAGGATGTGGCCCCTGGCTTACCTGGATCTGGTCCCCATGTCTCAGGGCTTCCTGACCCCTGCATTGGGGAACCTATGCTGATGCACCAGCTCCTCACACCAATCCCCCACGGGGCTGGAGCACACTAAATCTAATAGCCTGCCCCCCATCCTGGCACTTTTGGGTGAGAGGAATCGGGGAGTGTCTTTCTCCTCAGTCAGGAGCCATGTCAGGTTTGGGGGGGAGGGGGGATTGGGGTTTTTTTGGTTTGGGGTTTTTTGTTGTGTTTGTTTTTAGCTTCTCGTTTGTGTGCAGGCCCCAACTGGGTGTACGGCATCCTCAGTGCCTGCACTACCCCCTTGGTTGTCTGTTGTTTTATACTTAGATTGTAAACTCTCTGGGGCAGTGAGTGTCTTTGTTTTGTTTGTAAGGCACCTAGCACAACGGGGTTTTATTCTGAGATGCTACAGTTATACAAATAATATTTATAACAATACTGACTTCAATGGGAACTGACTGTAGCCAGATCTACTCAGTGCGCTGTACCTCACAGGATCAGGCCCACACTAAAACCACTGTGAATGTAAAACAACTGCTATTCAGTAGCTTTACAGAAGCTGAGGTAGAGGAGCTTTGAACAGGAAGTTGTTTTCTTCTTGTGACATTTTACTTCTTGTTATAAACCACTTCTGTTTTTTTCTAGTAGCACCTACTGAACTCTCACTCCTGCAAAGCCTTCAGAGTCTTCTTTCAAATAGCTGTGCAGCAAGGGGGCAGCTTTGCTCCTGCCCCATGTGCATGGCACATATTCAAAGACTAGTGTTTATACACAGATGTCTGAACAGGGCTTCCCAACCCACATAAGGGTACTCAGATCAGCATTGAGTCATAGATCAGGCATTTTACATGCCTTATTTGGAGCATCTGGATGTGGGTTTTTGATGTCCTTTTGAGACATGCCTTTTAAAAGTTGGGTCCTGTGACTCCAAACTTTTCCCTTTGGAAGAATGAAGATGGGGATTTGTAAGCCAAAGGGCAGGTTCACCAGCTAGGACAGTCCAAATAAATCCAAATGCTCATGTTCTCACACCCAAGGGGCCCTTTTCCCACTCCTGAGGAGAGACCCATACTAGGCCTTCCCCCATCCTGGTTTTCCCCTTTCTGATGCCCCTGCTTACATAGCAGGAGTCTTTATGTCTGGTTTCTTGTAGGTCACATGTTTGCTTCTAGTCAAGTTCCCTGAGTGAGTACAGCTCCCTGTTTTAGGAGCCCAAGGGCTGTAACAGGTGAATGTGTCCCCAGCCCCTGTGCTTTCTGACTGGATTCAGGGATTAGTAATAGAGACTGTCAACACTAGATTATAGTTCAAATCCAACCCTGGTACGTCATGACAAAATGTATTACCTGCTGCCCCCAGTTTTGTGGCCTGTATAACAAGGAGAAAGAAAAATGGAAGGAAATGTCGACGATGTTTGCTGTGGAGCAGAGTTCATTTTATTTTATAATCCATTTGGTATTTCACAGAACTGACGTTAGAATAAGAAGGTTTGTAAAGAAGTGGTTTTCTGTGTGATAACTCAGGACACCATACAACAGTTGACTATTTTGTGACTGCAGCAAAGATAGAGACGTGGACTTGCTACTACCGCATCCAGGGGTGAAAGTAAACTAAAGTTTATTTCAGGAACTGTCCTATTGCAGCCCGAGCCCCTTCCAGATCTTTAAATAGCTCCCCAGTGGCTTTTGCCACAGCTCAGCTAGCTCTTGCCGGAGCTGTGCATCCGCTCACTTTCAGCTCTGGTCTTATCTGAGTTTCAGCAGCTGTGCTGATGATACAGAGACACAGCGTGGAATGTTCTAGGTCGGTATTGCTGTGGAGGCGTCCTTTACTCACCATCAGTTTTGAAGTGCTGCCCACTGTTGGGAGAGGGGTCACAATGCTCCGTGCAGGGTACAGAGAGCTCCTGCTGCTACCTGTCCCTCCCCACCTTGCGCAGAGGTAATGATTCTACTGGTTGATGAGAAACACGGCAGCATCCACTCCAGGCTGCCTTTGAAGGTGCCATCTTTCCCGTGCCACAAAGCTGATTCCAGGAGAAGGAAGAGCCATGGTGTTTTAAACCCAGAGATATGAGGCAGAGAAGATCTTCATCCTCAATTTGGGCAGCACAACAGGCCTCATCTCCCTTCTCCGTGTTTAGAAGCCCTCCCACCCAAAAAACATCGCCCTTCACTCAGTTTAAATCTGCCTCTGGACACGGGAATGTAAAACTCACCGGCTACGTCTAGACTGCCATGATTTTCCAGAAATGCTTTTAACTGAAAAGTTTTCTGTTAAAAGCATTTTCAGAAAAGAGAATCTAGATTGGCATGGACGCTTTTCCACAAAAGCACTTTTTGCGGAAAAGCATCCGTGGCCAATCTAGATGCGCTTTTTTGCAAAAAAAAAAAAAAGCCCCGATCGCCATTTTCGCGATCGGGGCTTTTTTGAGCAAAACAAATCTCAGCTATCTACACTGGCCCTTTTGCACAAAACTTTTGCACAAAAGAGACTTTTGCCCGAATGGAAGCAGCATGGTATTTCCGCAAAAAGCGCTGATTTCTTACAGTAGGAAGTCAGTGCTTTTGCGGAAATTCAAGCGGCCAGTGTAGACAGCTGGCAAGTTTTTCCGGAAAAACAGCTGATTTTCCAGAAAAACTGGCCAGTCTAGACACAGCCACTACATTTTCAGTGACTTCATTTCCCCTCTCCGTATTGTGCTGAGGTGGCAGAAGCCATTTCCTCCGGCATGAACATTATGTTTCTCAGTTGTATGGTTAATCCTTAACCTGTACATTGCATCCCTTGCATCTCCTCTCTTCTAGCAATCACTTAGGATATTAGGTGTAGATTCCTCTGGCCAACAAATAAGAACTGATCCTGTGCAAAACCTTGAGAGAGGAAAGCAGAATGGAACCCTTCAAGGAGAAAAGTGTGTTATAATATAGAACACTAGAACGGGAAGGGACCTTGAGAGGTCATCGAGTCCAGTCCCCTGCCCTCACAGCAGGACCCAGTAATATGTAGAGTAGACCATCCCTGATAGACATTTATTTAACCTGCTGTTAAATATCTCCAGAGATGGAGATTCTACAACCTCCTTAGGGTTGAGTCCAGTCCCCTGCCCTCATGACAGGACCAAGCAGTTCTTACACAATTTCGGTTTTAATTAACTACTTTCCTGTTTTGCTTACCGCAAAGTTACTTAGCCTCTATTTTATTTTTAGGTGAATGTGATCAGTGTAGATAATATCCATCACCATAAATTTAGCATGTTATAAAAGTGTGCATGCTATCTTCTTCATTGATTACAGGCTAAAACTTCCTAGCACTGCTGAAGAAAAGTTGAGTCTCTATTCCAGATAAATGCGGAGTTAAAACTTTTACTCAGAATATTGGACAAATCAGAAAAGGCTACCATTTATTACAAGAGTTTGGCTAGCTATGATTGTTAACCACTTTAAATGAAATAGGCCGACTGGGTGACACAAAACCTTTCAGGTTTTCGTTTTCCCCTGGATAGCGTGGGCTTGTTTTAGTTACACAGGGTAAATACTTATTGCAAACTTGAAGCTATAGAAAATCCAGACAATGGGTCAGCTCCTCTGCTGGTATAAATTGGCAGCGTTCCATTGACTTCAGTAGAACTACTTCCCTGCATAGACATTTTTTAATCCATTCCTGTGAAAATATCATTCCTTTTACGTGGAAAAAAAAATCAAGCCCCATGGCTGTGACACAGAAGCCTGCATAGGTACAAATTTTCACAAGCAAGAGATTAGTTGGAATCAGTGAGCCTGACTCACCATTGCCTTGCACTTTGTACGCTCATTTGTACCTTTACCCCATTGGGTGTAAGACATATCAGATCAAAATGGTAGCATCTGACTGCAAGATGGCAAAGAATCAGATGCAATGCCTGGGAACATTATCAAAACCCACCAGGATGCCAAATTTAATTTTCACTTCGTTTGATCATAACAGCATTGTGGGGAAAATACAACTTCTGCTGTTAATTACACTGATGTAAATTTGGAATAAGGGTCAAATTCTGATCTCATTTGGAGATCAGCTGAAATGGAGATCAGCAGAAATCAGTTATTACTTTGGATTTAAGCTACTGAAATTCATAGCTGAATGTGGCTTTTCTATCTTTTATACCAGATATACTGAAGCACCTGCAAATGTAAATGTGATTCGTGCTTTGGCTTATCTGTATTGTACTGTTTATTGCTACACACTTAACATACAATACATTGCTGATGACTAGACCTTGGACTGGCTTGCTCTAGGGCGGGCTGCATTTTATCTTTGGAGCATGGTTTCCTGTACCTAAGGAACAAAAGAGTATTGCATTGGCAGGACCGCTGAGTCAGCCTTCAGAGTTACAGGAAGATGCAAAAAACATAATTGCTCCAATCATACT